ACAGAAGGCAGGTGAGCTGCGAAAAAGACAATGAGGGAAAGGAGAACTCCTTTTCTTCCTGTGTCTGATTAATGCCCTGTCCTGCATGGAAGGCAAGACACGGAGAAGAAGCATGTTGGGACACTTGAAAATACATTGTCGGCCAGGTACACATGTGGAAGCTGACAATGGCAGCTGATACCTAGATAGGGTTTGTCCCAGGTTTCTGGGACCCTCTTCAGCATCCCTTCCCAATGGTTCCTGGCCAGAAGATGCCTCAGGTTTGTGGCAGGCTTTGTGACCTTAGTAGCTCTGCTTCAGGTTGACCTTCATTGGCTGGGCATTTGCCCATAAGGTGAGGGATAATTGTGCGTATTTTATTAGTAAACTTTTACTAAGAATATCCTCCTCTAGGCCCTCCCTGGTGGCATAGCGGGTTAAAGCACAATACTGAGAAGCTAAAGCCACTTCCGCATGAGTTCGATTCCCGCCTGCCCTGGAGATGACCACATGGTGCAACAGACCTCTCCTGACCCGCCTGCTGCTCCCCTCAGCAGTGTGCTTCATACATCTGCCTGTTCTGCTCCCCAGTCTGTCTCTGGTGAAGCCTCTCGCCTCCCCTGAGCCTCTGGCCTATACCCCAGTTCTGTATGCACAAATAAATAAATCTTAAAAAAAAAAAAAGAATATCCCCCTCTAGAACTTCCATTATTATATTGGGTGGAGGACTACAACTTAGGAGAGAAATCAAGGGCTGCCTAAAAATTAGCAATGATGCAAAAAAAAAAAAAAAATTTAATAAATAACAGAACAGTCTTTCTTCCCTCTGTATATACCGATTCTATTATAGATCTTTCACACTTGGAATCTATGTGGGGTAATTGAATTAATCAGGCTTTTTGTGCCACCCGCCTCTGTGGCTGTCACCTGCGGTGTTGGTTGTGTTGGTGCAGAAGGTGCTCAGGAGCTTCGGGTACGTGTGCCTGGTGGTGATGCCTGGAGCATGGTGTGAGCATGTGCAAATGCACAGCTGAACTTAGAGGCCTGGGCATAAGGGCCGCATCACTCGGAGACAGGGGACAGCTATGGGAGGAATGGCTAAGAGAGGATGATTGAGTACAGATGCAGGAAGACCAGGAGAGAAGGCCAGAGAGAGCCGGGAAAAGACAGCGTAAATATAAGGGGGTGGGGAGGACTACTCTATTGCCTCCAGGGCTCCGTGCCCCTGCCTTGCCTGCCTGTAAGCTTATCACTTGTAGGGAATAGAAGTTGTCGGGCGCCACCCCCTCCATTAGTATCTATTATTGACACCTGTGGTCTTCCACGTGTGCCTGACGGTGCCCCTGGAGCCTGCAGCCTCTGGGGCGTGGTGTGGTCTTGCGTGTGCATGTGTGGGTGAGTCAGAGGCTGAGGCTATAAGGGAAGCATCACTCAGCTTGCCTGCAGTGGAGAACAAGAGATAACGGTTGCTGAAGAAGGTAAGAACCAGCCCATAGAGTCAACATTTGGCAGGGGGCTGGGAGGCCCGCCAGCCACCACACCGCCCAACTCCAGGCCCTGCAAGCCTGCCACAACACTGCAGCAGTCTGCTTTGCTTTTGTGTGCATGCATAGCTAGACCCCATTAGAGCCTGCAAATTTCAGGGTCCCTGGGTGCCCCTCAGGAACATGCTAAGAAGTAGAAAGAATTCCATACTCTAAATTGTCTGTTCAGAGATTAGGAAGGACAGTGGAAACCAGAGTTACTGTAGTGGAGGGTAAAAGAATTAAAAATCAGTCTTTTTTACAGCCTGCTGCTTCTAGCTTCCACAGCTGGTATCTGTAGTCTTGCACGCCTCCCCTGATTATGGAGGCATACGGGCCCCAAGAGCAATGGCCTGTGTGTGTGGAAGACACACACCTGGGCCTAGAAAAGCGGTGGGAGTGGATGCAGTGGCTTCATTCGGAGGCTGCAGAACAAGATGAGAATTCCAGAGAGAGCCCAAGAGAGTGTGGAGATTCTTGGGGGCTGGGAGGCAGGCATCCTGTGTACCTGGCTCCTGGACTCCTTATTAAAAGGCCTGTAAAATCCATTGAGGGCTCCAAGATGCCCTTTATCTACCTGCCTGAGTCTCCAGTGAGCCTGCCTGCCTGTGCAGATACACTGTAGGCACCTTTGTGGATATTTATTGATAGTTGATTATATGCAAAACATTCATTATCCATTGAGACCTTGGTTTACAGTAACTTATTATGAAGCTAATTTTTTAATACTCACTAGTTACAGCTGTTTCTTTTAGAGCCATCTTTTAAAAATGTTGGTTCTGTTCTCAACAGCTTCACAAAATAAACAGTAGGCGTACCTCCCCTAGAAGGCCTAGAAATTCAGTAATTTACATTTGGCATTTTATTGTCTGTCTTGTAATTCTATTTCTTCACCATTTTACTATCATAAAACGCTCCTCCCAGTTTGGAAATGATTGTGGACAAATTGGTTAAACCTAAAAGAAAAAAAAATGATATTTAATACCAGTTAGGCTAAGGAAAAGTTTCATAAGCTTGAGAAATTGGATTGCCCACAGAGAGACTTCATTTAAAAAAGTGTGTTCGTCAGAGAGTATAGAAAGTGTATTTACCTGAAAGCATTTTATATTGGAATGCGGGTCTGTTCACAGTTACACTTTGTTTGTATATCAACTACTGCACCTGTCACAAACCTGGATTTATTGTGAGTAGGCAGAGTGCTTGGTGTGGGGAAAGCCTGTGCAAATCCCTCATTGGCAGTGAGTCACCACAAGTAGATGCACCTGTCTTCCCAGCTGGGTTTTGCTCATGAGAAAGAGGGTCACCTAGCACCATGCTATCTTCATGGACAGCTGGAGAGATAAGATGCCTCAAGGTGTAGAAGACCTAAATTTTGTTTTTTTTTAAAAAAGACCCAGTGTCCAAGTGAAATGAGATCTGAGAAGTATTTTTGGTGCTTTGGCTCAATATATTTAGAAAATATAGATTTGCCTTAATATATATTTAAAAAAAAAAAATTGGTTTGCTTTGCTCCGATCACTCTAATAGCTTTTTAAATGACTCAGCGAACACCAATCTTTTCAGCTTAGATTAGTTTGGGGTTTAGCAAAATAGATCATTCTATTTTGATGCAAGCCCTTGGTTAAAATGTAGGACTTCTTTCAGTACTGTAAATATAACTTTTCCTTTTTGCCTATTTTAATTGTCTATTTTGTTTTCTCCAACATAATTTAAACTTCTATAGGAACTGTGTCTGCTTTGCTTGTAATTTTCCCTAACAACGTAACAACTTTGTTAACTCTAGATGTAGTTGTTCTCTTAGTAAATCTTTGTTGAGTGAATGTATGAATGAAAGAAGGAAGAATTGTTTTTCATTGGCCAGGAAGGTAGACTCCTCCTTAAGTATCCCCTGAGCAAAATCTCAAACTGGGAGGTTTCCGGGAGTCCCATTGTTGTTGTTTTTTTTTTTTTTTTTTTTTTAGGTAAACTTTACTTAAAATAAGATGTAGATTTTAAGAATACAAATTCAGATTTTTTTTTTCAAGTGGTATTTACCCATATAAGCACTGATACATTAAGATAAAGAAGTTTTCTGTTTCTGAAAGTTATGTTCTTTTCACTTAATACTACATAACTTCAGTTTATTGTTGTAACCTTTGATTTTTTGCCTTTTCTACAATGTTGTAACACATAATGTCTGAGCTTTTTTTGTGTTTGTATTATTTCACTTGCTTTGAGCTTTTTAGCTTTATCCATATTGTCTGTAGAGATAATTAATTGGACTAGTGGGTCTCATGACATTAACCTATGTTGAAAATATTCATATGAATAAGGAAGGGCTGTGTAATTTTAAGAACTACTGAATGCCTCTCCTCATAGGATTTATTGGTCCCAACTTTCCCAGTCTTCAGCCATTTGCTCTTAAGAATTCCAGAGATACAAAAAATGAGACTTTTAGAAGTAGTTAAAATTCAGAAGTACCATCTAGCTGTTATCATAGACTATGAGTTTCAATAGGCAAGTTGATCAAGGGACACCTTTTTGATCTGGGGTTGCCCCAAGCCCCTGACTTCTCTGAGCCATAGCAGACCATTACACCATTGTATTCTTTTATTTTTCTCATAGATCTTGGATAACTACCCTATGGGTTACAGGTTGTAGAGGTTACGTAAAACCCCCCAAACTAGATTTTTCCACTAACAGTTTTCTTTAAATCTATTTTCAGTACCATAACTCTTTGGGTGTATACAAGGTGATGTTTGGATAGAATTGCAAAGGGGATTTGCAAAGAACTGTAGTCATTTTGCAGGCAGTGGAAAGAGACTTGCCAAGTAAAGCCTGTATAAAATGGATTCATAGAATTAGAGCTGTCCGTGACCAACTGCCAAAGCCAGCTTATTTTCTTTGCTAGTTCCAAAGAATGCCAGAAATTTGTTGGTAATATAAGGTATCTTATAGAACATGCTGGCAGAGCACACTTTTTCATGAACTCAGGTCCGTTTTATTTTAGACTTAATGTGGTACGTAGGCTCCAGTAGGAATTTTCAGGTCAGAGAAACTTTAGGCATAGGAGATTAGAGGCCAAAATGTTAGTTTATTTCATAGCAGAGTAAAGCAATCAGATAGTCTTAGTGTAGTCACAAATAGGACTATATAAGCCTAACATTTTTTAACTTCTCTCACAGAAACCTTTCCATTACTAGTGAGACTAAAGAATAAAATTGTGGTCTAAGAAAGTAAGTAAACAGTCATGGAAAATAGTTAATATGATGTCCTACAGGTAAAGATACCATCCATTCAAAGATGGAAATGGGGAGATTATAAATGATTGAAAGGAAGAAAATTCCTCCTTGAATTCAGTTAAATGTTCTGTAAATGCTGGCTCTTTTGTACAGGATAGTTTGATGCAAAATATGTCAAAATTTTTTGAGCTGACAAGAAGGGATTCCAAACAATTTAAAAATGTAAAAGGCCTCTAAAGTGCCTCAAGAAGGTTTATATATTTTTCTTTCTCCGTAGAACCATTAGAGACGCCTCAAGAACAGCTCAGCCTGAGTGAAGAGATTTTGTGAAATCACAGATGCTTTACCCTGAGAGGAGTGCAAAAGTTTTCATTATAAGGTAACCATTGACTCCTACGTTTGACTTTCTGCTCTGGAAATGAACAAAATGATATGTTAAAATGGGAAATGTTATCAGGATTATTAAGGGGGCTCTGAGTTTTTAAAGCATGGTGTGTAGTTCGCGCTCTATATTTTCACATGATGTATGTTCCGAAATAATTCCTTGGCAACTATTATTGCATCTGAAGTAGGATGATCTATAGAAACAATGGGAGTTGCAAAGCATCAGTCTGATCATCTTGGATGAAAGTGTTATTAGCAGAGTCTCTATTGCAAGGACCTTCTCTGCCTTTTTCTTGATGATTCTCCTGTGGTCTGTAGTAGATAATACTCACTACCAGAGACTTCTAGCACTGGTCTAAAGTCCCAGAGCTGAAAGGATCAAAATCTTAATTCATTTGTAACTTATTGTTTGAGGAAACTGTTGGAGCCAATAGATTTCTTTCTTCTTCTTTTTTTTTTTTAATTAATTAATTTATTTATTTTAAGTTCTCAAGTATCCCGTCCTTTTACTTGTCTATGACTGGAGTTTGTGTTGACAGGAGTTTTTGTTAGAGAAATTAAAATGTTACTTAGGGTTCTAAAATTTCATACAAAGTTCATTTTACTAAAGATTGACCATATTTCTGATTTTATATCCAGAAAATTGAACTTAGAATATGTTCCTTCTTCCTTTCCATCGGTACAATAATAAACAAGACCTTTTCTAGAGGGATCACAAAACATCTTTGTTTGACTGTATACCTTAATGTTTTAGGGGTATGGGGGAAGTTTCTGTAAAGTAAACTGCATGAGTGTCACGAGAATTTCTCAATTGTAGTTTAGGCTTCTTGTCAGTATTTTGTATAGGTTGGGTAAATCTGGTTTTAGTTATCTTAGTCATGACACAAAAAAAAAAAAAAAGAAAGAAAGAAAGAAAGAAAGTTTGGTTCTGGCTGAAACCCAGGCTGAATATTGCAGAATCATAGTTTTCGATCTAATTAGATCCAGGCATGCTTTGATATTTCACCTGTGTCTTATTCAATTATCATCAGAAGTACCACCACAGTTACCACCTTAACAATAAGAAATAACAACTGGGAGACCCAGTGGTATTTAACAAGAAAGACTGTCATAAAACACCCCTTGGTCTCAACTCTAGAAGCTGACTTCACTTCTCAGGATTTTTGCCTTATTTCAGTTTGGTTTGGTTTGGTGAAACCTTCACTGAAACCCTGCCAAACTGATCTTTATAACTACTTCATAGTTTTTGCCTTTTAAAGAGTGTCATATAAATGGAATCATAAAGCTATAGTTTTCAAATTGGCTCCTTCTACTTAGTGATATGCTTTTAAGATTCCTCAATGTCTTTTTGTTGCTAGATAGTTCATTTCTATATTATGGCTGAATATTGTTCCATTCTAAGGTGTACCAGCTTATCCTATTGTTTATTGAGGGTCCTCTTGTTGTCAAAATAGAAAACTATGTAAATTGCTGCTATAAACACTTCCCTCAGACTCTTGTGTGGATATATATTTTTTCATCTCAGTTTAGTGTGTACCAAAGAGTATCATTACTGGATTAGATGTTTAGTCTTGTAAGAAATTGCTAGAATGTATTTCAAATAGTGCGGTTTTTCCCATTCCCACTAGCAATGAGTGAGAATGCCTGTTGTTATACATCAGTGTTGCTAATTTTAGCTATTCTAATAGGTGTGTAGTGTTTTCTCATTTTCTAAAGGTTTTAATAAGTTAATTATAGGAAATTAATTACAAGATAGTGTGACTACCCAGAAGATTTTGAACACTAAACTCACTAGAAATGTCTTTATTATTAAATTGATAATGACATTGATTTAGAATCTGACAATATTCTCTATGACAATGCAGTTTTATGAAATGTATATATATATATATATACATATATATATATTCTATTATAGAAAAAGACCAAAATAGGCAAATACTTTTCTAATAATATATCTCAAAAATAAAACATGCAGAGTATATTAAAGTTTTTGTTTATTTCCAAAAATGAAATATGCATGTTCTATAGATCCCAATATTAAACCATGTTTATTAAACCATGCTTGCATAAAGTTAGCTTTATGATATATTTTATTTATAAGTCACAGCAAATTAGGCATTTCTAATTATTTTACTCACAAAAATTCAGCCATGTAGCCTTAGTCATAAAAAGAGATTCTTTATAATCTTTTCAAGTCACTTTTTTATGTTTGATACATGTTTCTGCTTTACATTTGCTTGTATTCCTGATGTAAATTTGTATATATTTCTGATGAGAAATCTTCATAAGAGAAGGATTATTTTCGCCAATAAGGACTACTCCTTTCATGTTTCTGTCTTTAAACAAAGCACAATGTGTTTGAAAGAAAAACTTCATGACAATTATTAGACAGAAGGCTTGATTCAAGAGGGACTATCACAAGTTTTGCAGTAGGGGAAAGAGATTGGGCACAACTCCAAATATAGCAAGAACAAGTGGAAATTTAAAGGCAAGGAATAGTGTGGGGATTGGTTCCTGGAAAACTACTGAGTGTTTAGGGAGAGTCTCGCTAGATTGATTCAACCAAAATTCCTGCTGAAGACAGCCATGTCTGATATGGAGAGTGGTGCATGAGGAATGTGATGAAATATTGAGAGGATTTTCAATAAACTGTCTCATCAGGATTATTGCTAAAATTTGAGAAATCAGAAGGAGACAACCCAAGGTCAGAGCCTCAGTGAGAATTCAGTGGCATCTGACCCAGATTTGATCCAGGAGAGTACTCTGTCCTTGTCACCTGAGACAGTAGAATTATCAATGAACACATGTTGTTCTATAGGTGGCCCTTCATCAAAGACTATACCAATCTACAAGTAAAATCACTTTTAATTGTGTAAATAATTTTGTGCTTTAAGACCAGCTATTAAGCAGAACATGGATTTGATTATAAGTAACTTATATACATGAACAGTATATGTGTGCAAATTAGCTCAACAGTGATAGAAAAACAAAAAATTAATAGACATGTTCACTATTTTATAGAAAGAACAAAACATTACTATGAAGGAGGGATGGAAGAAAAAAAAAGGAATTGTGTTGTATTAGTGATCATAGGTTAAATGTATATATACATTTTATAGATAAGTATGAGGTGTATTCTCTCTGGATATACTGTAAATCTAGTTTGCAAAATCACTGATACAATGATAAATGGAAAACTTTTTTTCAAACATTAATATATATATATATAAAGTTACCATGAAATCCTTTTTTTAAATTTAATTCTCCTAGGTCCCACACCTAAATGTCTAATTTGAAAGGTCCATTATTCCTCACCAGCACAGTAGTTATTTTACTACAGGTGACCTGTAAGCCATGTTTCAAAAAACACTGATCTATACCATTTATAATTTTCCCCTCTGAATTGTGGTCAGTGTTGAAAATTATGATTGAGAACAACTTGTAGAAACAAATTGTGTATAAGCCCCTGACTTCTTACAGATGGGGCCCAACTTTGGAATACAAAGCTGGTGAAATAGCAGCGGTGCATTAGACCTGTTTCTTGTTAGCCGCGTGTCCATGTTTGTGCCATATACACCAGCTCTGAGGACATGAATGGGAAAAAGAGACCCTCAGCATTTTGCGTGCAAAGTCTATACATCATTATTTATTTTTTTAATGAGGGTGAGGAAGGTGAACAAAAATATATCACTATACTTGTTCACAGCCTAAGTTGAACTCGAATCTTTACACATCGATGTGACTTTCCTCCATGGAGCATGGAAGTTAGCTATTAGGGCCATTTTTGTAAACAGGGCTATATATATGAGTAAATCAGCCAAATGTCTTGCTTTTGTGGCCTCAATTTATTCTTTAATATAAATGCTGTTGTTTAGACTTAGATTCTTTAACTTATATTGCCTGAACTGACAATAAATTAGTTTTATGCCACATAGGACCTTGGAGTAAAAGGTCAACAAATATTTCTTAATGAATAAAGCCAGTGCCAGCTTGACTGGAGCTGATTGCAGAGTAGGCAGATATGAGACTAGATGTGATTAGTAGTCATATTGAGAAGAATAAGGGATTTTGTCTTGTCCTTTCAAAGAAGGTTTCTAAAAAGGATAATGAGAAGATAAATCTGGGTTTTGAAGAAGAAAATCATCCAACAGTAAAGGAGGTGGATTAAACAGAGGAGGAGCAGGAAATGCAATTAGCATGCTAATGAGCTGCTTACCAAAAGAAACCTCACTAAGCTGTTGGCAGCCAAAGGAGAAAGAAGGTAGTAGATAGTATAAGGAAGTTTTCCAACTCAACTGAAGTAATGTTGATTAATCACCTACTAAGTGCCAGTCACTGTTCCAGACCATTGGAACATTAGTGAATGAAATAAGACATATGGTCTGTCAGGGGAAAACAAATATAAGGAGAAATAACTAATAACATGAATAAATCACACATACAGCATGTTGGAAGATAGGAAAATTAAGGAAAAATATAAATTTGAGCTGAGTAAGGGTATCAAAGGGAAAGGCAGCAAAATGTTATATTACATGGGTCATTTAGTGGAAATCTGAGGAAAGATTTATACCCTGACGGAACAGTATTTAAAGCCAAACAAAGGAAAAGTAAAGACCCCTGAATAGGAGTGTGCTTAGAGTATTCCAGATAGCCTATTTTGAATTTAAAATCTATCTCAAGGCTTGATGCTCAGTTATACCAGTCATAAACTACAGAAATGGGGACTATTTTGCTGAAAGAAAGAATATTCCTTCTTGGAAGTTCTGCATCAAGTCAGATTGGATTAGGGAAAACAAAGAAAGAGGAAAAGTAAATTAAAGAGTCAACCTTGAACCATGCCTGTAGTTAAATCAGAAAAAATGACAGAGACTGGAGAAGAAAAGGCAAAGAAAAACATGAACCCTGCCTATTCTATGAAGAGGTTGGCCAAAAACAAAGGGTTTCCAGGTGCCAAATACAGCCAAAAAAAAAGGTTAAGGAAAATTAAGATTG